TGGGTAGATGGGTGGATGGATAGATGGATGGGTGAGTGGATGGATCGCTGGGTGGATGGGTGGATAGAAGGGTGGATGGGTGGGTGGATTGATGGATGATGGATGGGTGAATGGATGGATAGATGGGTGGATGGGTGGGTGGGTGGGTGGGTGGGTGGATAAATGGGTGGATGGGTGGGTGGGTGGATGGGTGGGTGGATGGGTGGATAGATGGGTGGATGGGTGGGTGGGTGGATGAATGGATGGATGGATGGGTGGATTGGTGGACGGGCAGATGGGTAAAACTCATGCCTCATGAAGAGTCAGAGGGTAGCATGTTTAAATTGTCAGGTTTATTATGCATCCATGTATCAATACATCCATCTAATAAACTGCACTTATACCCCTGAAATTTACTTAACCGGGAGTGCTAGTGCATGCCCGTAATCCCAGCTACTCCGAGGCTGAGATGGGATAATTGCTTGAAGCCAGAAGGCAGAGGTTACAGTGAGCCAAGATCATGCCATTGCACTCCAGCCTGGGAAACAGAGTGAGGATCCATCTCAAAAAATAAAAATTACACCAAAAAAAATGAGTTAAATTGAGGGCAGAGGTGTATAATGGTTTGGAATGAAAGTAAACCTTAGCTTTAGTAAACTTTGTTGAAGATGATAAGAACTGACCAGGTGTAACAGAATTAGACCAAAAAAATGTATTCAATATTTTGGATTTTGTCAGCTGGTCTTGGTGGCTCATGCCTGTAATCCCAGAACTTTGGGAGGCCAAGATGGAAGGATTGTTTGAGCCCAGGAGTTTGAAATCAGCCTTGGCAACATGGTGAAATCTTATCTCCACAAAAAATAAAAAGTAGCCGGGTGTGGTGACATGCACCTGTGGTCCCAGCTAATCAGAAGGCTGAGGTGGGAGGATGGCTTGAGCCTAGGAGGTCAAGGCTACAGTGAGCCATAGTGTTGCCTCTGCACTCCAGCTTGGACAACAGACAGAGAGAAAGACCTTGTCTCAAAAAAATACTTTTGTTAATTTTTTTTTAATTTTGTGAATTAAAAATTGTGGAAATTTGGGGGAAAAAATCCTCTGAGATGCCATGAGTTTGGGGGAAATTCTAATATGCTTCCAGATATGATTTTTCCCCTTTGCAAAGTTGGTGTGAGGGGTTACATCCACCTCATCATCAGCTCCTCCCCACCTCCAAATTGGGGTAGAAGAGCCTGGGCAAGGCGAGGTGGCTCACACCTGTAGTCCCAGCCCTTTGGGATGCTGAGGAGGGTGGATCACTGGGCTTGAGGCCAGAAGTTCGAGACCAGCCTGGCCAACATGATGAAACCCTGTCTCTACTAAAAATACAAAAATTAGCTGGGCGTTGTGACGCATGCTTGTGGTCCCAGCTACTGGGGAGGCTGAGGCAGGAGAATGGCTTGAACCCGGGAGACGGAAGTTGCAGTGAGCTGAGATCATGACACAGCACTCCAGCCTGGTCAACACAGCAAGACTCTGTCTCAAAAAAAAAAAAAAATTGGGGTGGAAGGGACATCTTCCCCTCTGTGGGAAAGGAGGAGGAGGTCAGCAGGATGTTTTGAGTGGAAAAAGGGGAAGGGAGGAGGTGAGCCATGCCAGCAGGGTGGAGGTTACAGGTGGGGAGCGGGGGTCCCAGGTACCTCACCTTTCGGTCCAAGTTGAGGGGTTTCCCCACAAGTGGCAGAGTGATGAGCTTCTTGGTACCCTGGCTCCAGGTCCCTAAGAAGAAGTCGGCCAGGACTCCGTGCCTCTCGGCTCTCTCAGACCCCGACAGGTAGCGCTCACGGACAACCTGGACCAGCTGTCTACAGAGAGGGTATACCGGCTGATGGACCTGGAGACCCATCGAGCTCAAAGGTGGCTGCCTGACTTCCTGGAGGCAGTTCCCAAATGCCAAGCCATCTTAAACCAACCTGTGGACCACCTGTGCTATTTGATATGTAACATCGATCTCTAAATTGGTCCATGTTTTCTTTTTCCTTACATAAATTTACCTTCAAAGAGGAACCTTTGGGCTCCTCCAAAATTTTAACATAAAATAACTTACCACATGACCCAGCGGATCCACTCCTGGGTATATACCCAGAAGAATCAAATAAACAGGTGTTCAGGCTGGGCGCAGTGGCTCATACCTGTAATCCCAGTACTTTGGGAAGCTGAGACAGGCAGAGCACCTGAGATCAGGAGTTCAAGACCAGCCTGGCCAACATGGTGAAACCCTGTCTCTACTAAAAAAAAACAAAAACAAAAATTAGCCTGGCATGGTGGTGGGCACCTGTAATCCCAGCTACTCAGGAGGTTGAAGCAAGAGAATCACTCCTCCCAGGTGGAGGTTGCAGTAAGCCCAGATTGTGACACTGCACTCCAGCCTGGGTGACAGAGATAGACTCCAAAAAAAAAAAAGAAAAGAAAAGGAGGAAGGAAGGAAGAGAGAGAGAGAGAGAGACGAAAGAAAGAAAGAGAGAGAGAGAGAGAGAGAGAGACGAAAGAAAGAAAGAGAGAGAGAGAAAAGAAGAAAGAAAGAAAGAAAGAAAGAAAAAGAGAGAGAAAGGGAGGGAGGAGGAGGGAGAGAGAGAGAGAGAAAGAAGGAAGGAAGGAAGGAAGGAAGGAAGGAAGGAAGGAAGGAAGGAAGGAAGGAAGGAAGGAAAGAAAGAGAAAAAGAAAGAAAAGAAAGAGAAAGAAAGAAAGAGAGAAAGAAAGAAAGAAAGAAAGAGAAAGAGAGAAAGAGAGGAAGAGAGAAAGAGAGAGAAAAGAAGAAAGAAAGAAAGAAAGAAAAAGAGAAAGGGAGGGAGGAGGAGGGAGGGAGGGAGGGAGAGGGAGAGAGAGAGAGAGAAAAAAGGAAGGGAGGAAGGAAGAAATGAAGGAAGGAAGGAAAGAAAGAGAAAAAGAAAGAAAGAAAGAGAGGAAGAAAAGGAGGGAGGAAGGGCGGGAGGGAGGGAGAAAAGAAAGAAAGAGAGAGAAAGCAAGCAGGCAAGAAAGAAAGAGGGGGAGGAGGGAGGGAGGAAGGAAGGAAGGAAGAATAAGAAGGAAGGTGTTCAAACAAAAAACTTACACATGCATGTTCACAACAGCAAAAACATGGAAGCAACGCAAGAGTCCATCCATACAATGAAATGTTATGTGGCCACGAAAAGGAACGAAGCACTGATCCCTGCTACGATGTGGATGAACTTCGAAAACATGATGCTGAGTGAAAGAAGCCAGACACGAAAGGCCACACGGTGTGTAATTCCATTGATCTGAAATGTCCAGAACAGCCAAATCCATAGAGACAGGGAGCAGATTAGTGGCTGCCAGGGGCTGGGGGAGGGGAGTGCGGAGTAACTGCTGATGGGGACAGGCTCTCCTTTTGGGGGGATGGAAATGTTCTAGAACTAGGCAGAGGTGAGGGTGCAACATTGTGAGTGTACTAAAATACCACTTAATCGTCCACTTTAAAATGATGAATTCTGGCTAGGTGCAGTGGCTCACACCTGTAACCCCAGCACTTTTGGAGGCCGAGGCAGGCAGATCACCTGAGGTAAGGAGTTCAAGACCAGTCTGGCCAATATGGTGAAACCCCGTCTCTACTAAAAATACAAAAATTAGCCAGGCTCAGTGGTTCATGCCTGTAATCCCAGCTACTCAGGAGCCTGAGGCAGGAGAATCACTTGAACCCAGGAGACGGAGGGTGCAGTGAGCTGAGATTACACCACTGCACTCCAACCTGAGTGACAGAGCAAGATTCCATCTCAAAAAAATAATAAAATAAAATGTGGTGAATTGGCCAGGCATGGTGGCTCATACCTGTAATCCCAGCACTTTGGGAGACCAAGGTGGGTATGCCTCTTGAGCCCAGGATTTTGAGACCCCGCCTGGGCGATGTGGTGAGACCCCATCTCTAAAAAAATTTTTTTTAATTAGCCAGGCATGGTGGTGCATGCCTGTAGTCCCAGCTACTCTGGAGGCTGAGGTGGGAGGGTCACTTGAGCCCAGGAGTTTGAGGCTGCAGTGAGCCGAGATGACACCACTGTACTCCAGCCTGGGTGAGACCCTGTCTCAAAAAAAAAAGAAAATCAAAATAAAATAAAATAATGTGATGCATTTTACATCATGTGAACTTCACCTATTTTTGTTTTGTTTAGTTTGAAACAAGATCTCACTCTGTGACCTAGGCTGGAGTGCAGTGATGCAATCATGGTTCACTGTAGCCTCAAACTCCTGGGGCTCAAGTGATCCTCCCACCTCAGCCTCCCAAGTAGCTGGGACCACAAGTGTGTACCATCATACCTACCTAATTTTCTTACATTTTTTGTAGAGATGGGGGCCCCACTATATTGCCCAGGCTGGCCTCCAACTCCTGGCCTCCAGCAATCCTCCCGCCCTGGACCCCCAAAATGCTGGGATTATAGGCGTGAGCCACTGCGTCCAGCCTCAACTCAATTTTAAAAATAAGTGAATTGTGCCAGTGTTCGAATTGGACTTGATTCCCTGGGAATGTGGAGTGAAGGATCTGGTTCTGAGAAGACCCCCCCACCAGCGAGTTCTCATTCTCGAGGTCCTACCCAGGCAGTGTTGCTGCCACTTCTGCCTGGACCTACCTGTGGGCAATGGCCAGGAGGGTGGAGCCATCCACGGGCCGCCGAGCCAAGCAGTATCCCAGATCCCGACGAAGCCGCACCCACAGCAGGGGTGGGAATCGCAGCAGTTCCTTGCTGGGCGGGGTCCAGTCCCGGTACACAGCCTGCAGGACCTCGTCATCCAAGGACAGGACATCCTTCAGCTCTGCCTCCGAGAGACCGTGCCTGGGAGGAGGGGTGGGGCTTTGAGGCACATCTCTGGTATTCTGCATTTGGAGGTTGCAGAAACCAAGAGAGGGAGGGTTACGGCCACCTGCGCGGCGTGCAGAGCATCACCTGGGATCAGCATTTGGACAGCGCCCACAAGGGCCCAGGCCGGGTCAGGGCAGTACCCACCAAGGAAGACCTTTTCCGATCTTTTCCTCCACACGCACACCTACAGAACCACAAAACGCCCGCTCCTCAACCTCAAAGCAGTCTGAGACAGACAGCGTAGCGAGGGAAGGACGAGGTAACTCAAGGAAAATGATGCAGAAGCCAACTGCACCCACCCCACCCTAGCCTGGCCCACCAAGGTGTGTCTTTAATTAGGATAAGTGGGATGGGCTTGGTGGCTCATGCCTGTAATCCCTGCACTTTGGGAGGCTGAGGCAGGAGGGTCGCTTGAGGCCAGAGTTCAAGACCAGCCTAGACAACACAGGGAGACCCCATCTCTACAAAAAATTTAAAAATTAGCTGGGCCATGGGAGCACACGCCTGTAGTCCCTGCTACTCGGGAGGCTGAGGTGGGAGCATCGCTTGAGCCCAGGAGGTTGAGGCTGCAGTAAGCTGTGATTGCACCACTGCACTCCAGCCTGGGCAAAAGAGTGAGACCCCGTCTCTAAAATAAATACATAAATAAATTAACAAATGAATAAAAATAAGGTTAAACTAGCTAAAAATTAATACAATTTAAGATTCAGTTTCTGGGTTGCATGAACCGCCTTGCAAGCGTTCCATGGTTTTCATGGCTTGTAGTTACGATGGGATACCCGACACTGTACTCTTTGAAAACATTTTCATTTTGTTGTTGTTGTGGTTGTTATACTATCTTGGCTCACTGCAACCTCTGCCTCCTAGGTTCAGGCGATTCTCCTGCCTCAGCCTCCCGAGTAGCTGGGACTACAGGTGTGCACCACACGCCTGACTAATTTTTGCATTTTTTGTAGAGATGGGGTCTCCCTGTGTTGGCCAGGCTGCTGTCCAACTCCTGACCTCAGGTGATCTGCCCGCCTCAGCCTCTCAAAGTGTTAGGATTACAGGCGTGAGCCACTACACTTGGCCTGCAAATGGCTCTATAATATGGTATCAGAGAGAACCCAGAAGATGTGCCCGTGGTCATGGGAGAACCACTGGGTTGAGAGGCCATCCTCATCCCTGAAGACGCCTTCTAAGCAATGCGAACCCCAGGGCAGGCACCTCACTTGGCACCCCCACGGGACCCGCCTAGCCTGAATTGCAAAACAGGGCTGTACATGGTCACCCAGGCTTGCATTTGATCCTGGATGAGAGACCTTGGCAAGTAATGTACCTCCTCTTTGCCTCAATTTCCTCATCTGCCAAAAGCAAAACTGTTGAGGGCTAAGAAGATAATGCACAAGTTTCCCTTATTCTGGGCTCTTATTCCAGCGAGCATGACCTCATTGAGGCTTCCAGCAGCCTTGGGGGATGGATGCTTCTCCCAATCAGCCCCTCTGTGCAGGGCAGGAAGTGAGGCTCCCAGAGGGCACAGGGCATGCCTGAGTACAGAGTTTATTGGGCTTGCGCTGTTGATGTTTGGGGTCAGATCATTTTTTTAGGGTGGGGACAGTCCTACAACACTGCTGTGTTGTAGAACAGCAGTCTCCAATCTTTCTGGAACCAGGATCGGTTGCTTGGAAGACAATTTTTTTTCCATGGACTGTGGTGGGGATGATGGTTTTGGGATGATCAAGTGCATTACCTTTATTGTATATTTTTTATTACATTGTAATATATATAGAAATAATTATACAACTCCCAATCATGTAGAATTAGTGGGAGCCTTGGGCTTGTTTTCCTGCAACTAGATGGTCCCATCTGGAGGTGATGGGAGAGAGTGACAAGTCATCAGGCTCAGATTCTCATAAGTCCTGAGCAACCCAGATTACTCATATGCACAGTTCCCAATAGGATTTGAGCTCCTATGAGAATCGAATGACGCTGCTGACCTGACAGGAGGTGGAGCTCAGGCGGTAAAGGGAGCGATGAGGAGCGGCGAGGAGTGGCTACAGATAGATGAAGATGCACCTGCTTGCCCCCTGCTCACCTCCTGCTGTGCAGCCTGGTTCCTAATAGGCCATGGACTGGTACTGGTACTGGGGGTTGGGTTGGGGACCCCTGTTGTAGGATGTGTAGCACCCTCCACCCAAGCCCCCACACGCTAGATGCTGGTAGCATGACAGATAGACAGACAGATGTGCAGATAGGCATGTAGATTATAGATAGACAGGATGGAAGGATAGATGGAATTTAGAGAGAATGGATGAAAGATCAATATGATCAATATGATGGATAGACGGATGAAAGATAGAGATGATGGATGCATGGTTGGATGGAAGGTTCAAAGGATGGATGGATATAAGATAGATTATAGAGAGATAGATATAAATAAGAGATAGAACAATAGACATGGAGATAAACAAAGATAAACAGATTATAAATAAATAGATACAGATGGGCAGATAGGTATATAGTTGACCCCTGAATAACACAGGTTTGAACTGCACGAATCCACTTATATGTGAATTTTCTTTCACCTGGGCTGTCTCTGAGACAGCAAGACCAAGGCCCCCTCTCCTTCTCCTCCTCTGCCTACTCAACATGAAGGTGAGAAGGATGAAGGCCTTTGTGATGATCCACTTCCACTTCATGAGTAGTAAATGTGTTTTTCTTCCTTATTTTTTCTTTTTTTGAGACAGAGTCTCGCTCTGTTGCCCAGGTTCGAGTGCAATGGCATGATCTCAGCTCACTGCAACCTCTGCCTCTTGGGTTCAAGCAATTCTTATATTCAGCCTCCCAAATAGCTGGAATTACAAGCATGGGCCACTGTGCCCCAGTCCCCTTTATGATTTTCCTACTATCATTTTCTTTTCTCTATCTTGCTTTATGTAGGAATAGAGTCTGTAATACATAAAACATGAAAGACACATTCATCAACCATTTATGTTACTGGTAAGGCTTCTGGTCAACAGCAGGCTATTAGCAGTTAAGTTTTGGGGGAGTCAAAAGTTATGCATCAGTTTTGAGCTATGTTGGGAGATATTTGGTTCCCCTAACCTCCAGGTTGTTCAAGAGCCAACAGAGACAGATTACAGGTCAGGCATGGTGGCTCATGTCTATAATCTCAGCACTTTTGGAGGCCCTGGGAGGATTGCTTGAGCCCAGGAGTTTGCGACCAGCCTGGGCAACATAGTGAAACCCTGTCTCTACTAAATAAATAATTAAATAAATAAATAAGGCTGGGTGTGATGGCTTATTTCCGTTATCCTAGCACTTTGGGAGGCCAAGGTGGGTAGATTACTTGAGGCCAGGAGTTTGAGACCAGCCTGGCCAACATGGCAAAACTCTGTCTCCACTAAAAATAAAAAATTAGCCAGGCATATGGTGCACGCCTATAATCCCACCTACTTGGGAGGCTCCAACATGAGAACCACTTGAACCCAGGAGGCTGCAGCCTAGGCAACAGAGCGAGACTCGTCTCAAAGAAAAAAAAAGAAGAGTAAATAGATAACTAGGCGTGGTGGTGTGCACCTGTGGTCTCAGCTATTCAGAGGGGGCTGAGATAAGAGGATCGCTTGAGCCCAAGAAGCCAAGACTGTGGTGAGCTGTGATCGAGTCACTGAACTCTAGCCTGGGTAACAGAGAGTGAGACTCTGTCTCAAAAAAAATAAATAAATAAGAGAGAGAGAGAGTGCTCGAGAGATAGTAAAGATAGACGGGATCAATATAGATGAGCAATAGAGAGATAGATACAGAGATTGATTGATTACAAATGAATAGATGGATAGAGAGAGAGATGATAATTTAAATAGGTGGATAGATTAAAATGGTGTATTTGTAGCTATGGGATAAATATAGAGTTAGATAGGTCGAGATAGATGTTAGAGAGATACAATGATAGATTACTAGAGGTAACAGCTAGACAGAGATAGAGATGATACTTATTTATTGATGGGACATAGAGAAATATATAGAGATAGACATGATATAGATAGATATGATGGATGGGTAGATGAATGGATGACTGAAGATAGAGATGATGAATGCAAGGAAGGTAGAGATGATGGGTGGATGGATGGATGAAAAATAGAGATGATGGATGGAAGGAAGATAGATGGATGGATGATGGAAGATAGAGATGATGGGTAGATGGATGGATGATGGAAGATAGAGATGATGGGTGGATGGATGGATGGAAAACAGAGTTGATGGGTAGATGAATGGATGAATTGATGGATGGAAGATAGAGATGATGGGTGGAAGAAAGAATAGAGTGGATGGATAGACGGATGGATAAATGGATGATAGAGATAATGGATGGAAGGAAGATCGAGATAATGGGTGGATGGATGGATGGAAGATAAAGATGATGGGTAGATGGATGGATGGATAGATGGATGGAAGATAGAGATGATGGGTGGCTAGATGGATGGATGGATGGAAGACAGAGATGATGGATGGATGGATGGATGGATAGAAGATAGAGATGATGGGTGGATGGATGGATAGATGGATGGATGGAAGTTAGAGATGGGTGGATGGATGGACAGATAGATGGATGGAAGGAAGATAGAGATGATGGGTGGATGGATGGATGGAAGATAGAGATGATGGGTGGGTAGATGGATGGAAGGAAGATAGAGATGATGGGTAGATGGACGGATGATGGAAGATAGAGATGGTGGGTGGGTGGATGGATGGAT